TAATCCTCTTAAACTTGGAATTATTGCTTTTTAAGCATCCTGTTTTTGTTCTGGTGAGTGCAGTGTCTCTTTCTGGAATTTACAGTCATTAAGTCTTTTCCCTCTGATCAGAGATACTGGAGGACAAGCCTTTCTTGCTTCAAGGGAGGTAAGTCTGGTGGCAGATGCTGTCTTGTTCTGGTGGAGGGACAGATGGAGACAGATACTAAGAAAGACAAGCTGCCTTGCCTGCCTCTCTTGATGCTCTAGGTCTTGGGTCTAGAAATTTTCTACTGAGTTTCTGCCAGACTGTCAAGCTTGTTGGAGAACAATACACAGATACAAAGTCTGGATTTTTTTCCCTATTTCATCTCAAGTGTGTATCTGTGTAACAGTTTTCTAAAAATTGGGGTATAGTTTTATATTTTTCTGATTTCAGCATTGATGGTGGTAACTTCTTTCTTTCATGTAAAAGAAAAAAAATATACAGAATTTCATGTAACTCAGGCTAATACCAAACTTCCCATGTAGCTGAGGATGACCTTGAACTTCTGATCCTCCAGTTTCTACCTCCCTATCTTGGGGTTATATGCACGTGACATCATTTACAGCTTACTTTCTGCTAGAACTTTTGTTTACCTAGCCTGTGTTTGGGTTAGAGTCTTTAAGTGTAGGTTTTCCCATCTCAAAGATCTGGTTTGTCTTCTCTACTGTTTATTTTCTGCTTTCTATTTCCTTGACTGCCTTTGTTTATGTTCACAATCCAGACTTGCTTTTCTTTGTCCCTTTGGTTAATGCAAACTCTTCTGAGCTTGTTTTTCTACCATGGTGACATTCTCTGTGTTCAAAGATGCCACCACAGTGTCCACAGCAATCTTATGAATATGAACTAGAAATTTCTCCTTTAAGAAGTATACTTACTGCTCAAGGAAATACAGGCTCTATTCTGGACCCCCTTTGCTTGAAACTCTAACAGAGCATCGTATGGGCCTGGTGCATTTAAACATTTCTCTGTTGCTTATTCTTGGAGAGAGAAGTCAGTGTCTACTCAGGATTTCTTTTCTCCCCTCCCCCTCTTTTTGCTGCAGATCTACCCTGTGTTTTTTCAAGAGACTTGTATGAGTCACTACTTGACCGAAATCCAGTATAAGGAAAAAGGTTAGGCTTGTAGTAGATTAATTTGCCAATTAGAGGTTTATCTTCCTGTGAGGCCTGGGGAGGGAGCCAGCTTCAGTTCAAGCAGTCACATGGAAGTCTGTTTCCAACCAGAGTTTTTCCTTTAGGTATTTGTGTGGCATTCACTAATTAGCGTAGCCATTGTCATTTGGCATGGCTGGTCCCCTCAGCAGCCAGCTAGTGGCATTCTTTTCTCACATTTTTCTGGTGAAATCTTCATAGCCTATGCACATTAGGAGTAAGTGCAACCCTGCTGAATTGCTTTGTTGGCTTCTGGAGGCAGAGGCTCTCTTGAAAGAGTTAGTGTGTTTTAAAAGCACCCCAGCTCTCCCAGACCTGGTGCCCTCCTACTGCTGAACACACTTCCAGATCTGCTAGATTCTCATTTGCTTATTTTCTGTACATACACTTGGAACTTGCAGTTTCTCATGAGGAGGGTGTTGTGTCTTCTTAGCTCATTAAGGACCCTCCATACCCATTCTCTCCAGAACATGTTTCTGGAGGTATAAGCGACGGTTTCTGGGTTTCTAGGGTTCATTCATAATGTTTCTACCATCATCAATCAATCTGGCAATCTGTCACAAGGAATGAGCCTGTGTGTATTTCTTATTGGAAAATTTTAGTTTTCTCCAAAAATGATATTTAATTGCTTATGATCCTTGATACTCCATTTCAATTTGTATAATTTTTCTTTGGGTGAGAGTCTAGATACAGTTTTCACTTTGCTTTCTTGTGTCAGAAGTAGTTTTCTTGTCATTCCTTCCTTTTATATAAAGACTCCTATTTTAAATTAAAAAACTTTTTGGGAGCTAGAGGGGAACTTGCTGTGTTGACTTCTGGAGGCCAGTTGTCTTTCCTCAATGGCTTAACACCTCATTTCTTCACACAGGAAACTCAACCATTTAGCTAGACTGTCTGAACAGTGAACCTAGGGATCCGCCTGTCTCTTCCTTCCAGAACTGGGGTAATAGGATTCCTCCCCTGGTGTTCTCTTTCTATGTGTGTGCATATGTATGTGCACATGTGCCTATGCATGGGGCCAGAGGGTAATCTTGGGTGTCCCCCTCAGGAATGATGTCTACCTTCTTTGAGACAGTCTCTCATTGGTCTGGCAGTCACTGATTGGACTGGATAGTCTGTGAACCCCAGAGACCCTCCTGTCTACACACCCCCAGTGCAAGACCTATGGACATGTGCTACCACACCTCGAGTTTTGTGTAGGTACTTGGGCTCAAACTCATGTCCTCATGCTTGCAAGGCAACCACTTTACTAAATGAGCTATCTGCACAGTTCTCCAGTACTCTTCAGTGAATGATTGGCCTGTAGAAGGAATCTGGGCCCTGGCATCAGGTTGGTCCTGGTTCAGGTCTTAGAGCTCTCCCAGTTTTGTGGCTGTGGTTGGGCCATGTAACCCTTTGAAGTCTCAGAAGTCTCCCATGTGACATGAGCTAACAGCTTCCAACTGAGACTGTGTGGAATAACTGCTACTTAGCTTGGCGTGCAGAAGGCTTTCCTTAACTCCTGGCCCCTTTCTCTTCTCTCTTGTTAGCAATGACAAAGTGTGACAGCTTGGTTCCGGGGGTGGGAGTTATATCTTTTCATTGTCATAGGTTAGGTGCTTGAGTTCACTTCTGGACAGTCTTTGTGCTGCAGCAACTGAAGTTATCTTGAGCTAAAATGAAATGGACCTGAATATGCAGCATGAGTCTTCTAGAATAGAGTCCTACTTTCTGGCTTTGTTGTTGTTGTTATCATGCCCACCCCTTTTGTCTTCATTTGTGAATATGGAAAGATGATATTAATTATAAATACACAAGGAAATGAAAGTAGGGGGAGCACAAGGTCATGACTAGTATAAAACAGTGCCCTGGGGGCTCCTATAATTTTTCCCGAGTTAGAATCCACACTCTAGATGCTGTTGTAAAGAAAGCCATTGATGTTTCCCCTGGGCCTTTCATTTAAGTTGTCAGTGTCCTTTGCTTCCTCCTAAAAGTAAAGCTGAGGAGGATATCAGCATTGGCTCAGGGTAGCTGTGGGATCCCATATTGACGCTGGGCCAAGATAGCTTTTGAAGCTTGCCTGCTGTGCGTTTGTTTATAAAGTGATTACCCTTCTTTTAAAACAAGTAAAACCTGATGGGATTCAAACTATGGTGTGAAGGTATGATACTGATGCAAGAATAAAAATGAAAACTTGCAGGCCGTAGGAGTTGCTGTGTGACCAGGGCATTTCTACAGAGGCTCAGCAGTCTGGAGCCAGTAGCGCAGCACACTGTGGGATCAAAGGACTGGGATTAACTGTCCAGCTCTGAACAAGGCTCATATCATTTGACCTTTGGTTTGTGACTTTTATTATTAAGGAAATTCATTCTCCAAGAGAGTTGAACAGTATTCAGGCATTTCCTTGAATACTGGTGAAATTAGAAAGTCTATTTGCAGCAGGGGCTGGCTCAGTCCTGTATGCTCCTAATTTCCTAGGTGCTCAGTAAATACATCTATCCTTTCTTCTCCCCTCTCCCTGTCTCCCCTCCCACACTCACCACTATCAGTTCTTCATTTTTTCCCTTCTTCCCTTCTCAAGCTCTCTTCTTCTCCTCCTCTCTTCCTATTCCCTCCTCCTCACCCCTCCTCCTTTCCTCTATCTTGTCTCTCTCCTCTTTCCTTCACCTTTTCAACACTGGGGCCTTACTATATAGCCCAGACTGGCACAGAACTCTTGACCTTCCAACTTCTGCCTCTTGAGTGGTAAGATTAGACATCTGAACTACCACATGCCTTCCTTGATAAATCTCTTTTGAGGGATTGCTAGGTGAGATGAAAGCTTCTGGAAACACATTGTTTGCTTAGAAGAAGGGGATGTTCCTAACTTTTCCCTTTATGGACTTAATGGCTGTGCTCATTTGATCATGGCAAATTACCCTCGCCCCCTCCCCCCCATATTTTTGAGACAGGGCCTTAGTGTGTAACTCCAGCTGGTCTGGATCTCACTTTATAGACTGGGATGGCCTTGAACTCACAAATATCTGCTTACCTCTGCTTCTTGAGTACTGGCATTAAAGGAGTGGGGTAACACCCCTGGCCAATTTTTGGACAGAATCAAGGTCCTAGCTTATTGCTGGGACTTCAGCATTTTTCAAGTATTCTTAGTGAACGTACAAATGAGAAAAGCATGGGTTTTTGCTTTGTGGTTGTTTAGCACCCTCTCCTTGAGAATGTCAAAGGATTTTAGGAATCTCCTCTCCCTTAGCTATAGGCAGGCAATCTGATTTAAGGAGCACCCCACCTCCCCGAGTTTCTGATGTCACTTACTTATGTGATGGTGGGGTACTTGGCTTACATCTTTAATATATACAACATTCTCTTTGAAGAAATGTAAAAATGGAATCTCACCTCTTTCTTATGTCTTAACAAAAATCTACAATTCTCTAGACTCCCTTCTCCAAGCCTCAGGGTTGTTTTGGTTTTTGTTTTTACAAAAGGGTAGGTAGGGCTAAGGCTGAACTGCAGTCTTCTCTCACTGCTTTGTGGATTCTTCTCTTCACCCTTTGCATATATATTATCAGATCTCAAATGTAGATTTTTAAGAAAGCACTATTTAATGACAAGGTGGCTTCTCCTCTTGGTGCTATCTTCCTGTGTCCCCAGATTGATGTTATCTCCCCAGAACATCTAGTGTGGCAAGGGAGTCATGTCTCTTGATGGTAGATCTACCTCAGCAGCCCTGTGTGTTCATTCAGCTAGTATTTGGTTCTTGTGAGTGACTTTTGCCTCATCTAGCCGGTGACTCTTCCCTAGCCCATGTGGGTCCCCTTCTACTCATTCTGGGCTTCCTTATGTTTTTGCAGGCTTACAGTTCCTCCTAGCATGACCGAGATCTGATCAGCCAACCCAAGCATTGTTTCTTGTGCCTGGCACTTCAGTGCTGGGGCCTTTTCCTTGCCCCAAACTACAGCACTGTCATGGCAGCTGCCTCTACTTCCAGCCCTGTAATTTCACAGCCCCAGGTAAGTGATTTGACCTAGTTGATGTTTTTTTTTTTTTTTTTTTTTTTTTTTTTTTTTTTTTTTTTATCATAGCTCTGTGCAAAAGTTAAACTGAGTTTTAAGGAAGTATACTTTTCTCTGGGGAATCATACATGCCTCTCATTGTCATTTGGTGGGTACTTAGATGGGGTGCTTTGGAGCGAGAGAGAGAGAGAGAGAGAGAGAGAGAGAGAGAGAGAGAGAGAGAGAGAGATGCTATGTAGTTCAGGAAGCAGCTGGAAGAATGATCCTGAAAAATGTCCCCCTCTTCACAGGGGGAAAGGTTTATCACACTCAGGATGAGGATGCCTAACTGTCACTATTGCCATCAAACTCCAAAGCAAGACAAGTCAGAAGTAAATTCTGCTGCTCTTATTCCTGTCTTCTTTTGCAGGGAGGATGGTTATACAAATAATATTTCTCAGTTTGATCTAATCTTATAACAAGCCTTCCAAGGCTGCTACATTGTTCTTTTCCTGTAATTATTATTATTGGCCCATTCTGGGAAATCTGAAAACAAAGTGGAGTTCTAGAAACTTCTGAGCAGTAGTTCCATGAAGTGCTTTGGCTGTACACAAGGAGCAGAAATTCTTCAAGGATATCTTCTTTGTTTAGATTATGGTATAATCTGCTGCATTGTGTATATGCTGTCCTTTAGCCTCAGGGGGCAGTGTGGTGCAATGGTAGGGAAACAGACTTGGACTCACAAGGCCTTGGGTCATCTCCTTGTGCTTGGACAGATGCTTCTCTGCCCTACCCTAGCTTTAAACTCCACTCATATTATTATCCTTCACACATTTTAGTGGCTAAAACAGTAGCTTGTCTGCAAAGCACTCAAAACCAGTATAGTTTCCCATTTGCTTTCCCTTTGTTGTGACTCTTCTTTATCCAGTGTGGCTTCTCATTTATGACCTTCATTTTTAGGCAAAGGTTTAAGAAAAAATAGGTACCTTTGAGTAAGAGACATTTTAAATGCTTATAGTTAGTGCACAAAATACTGGGTTTCATTATGATATTTTCATGATGTGTATCATTGTACTTGGCTCATTTTCTCTGATGTCTCTCCTTCTGGTCTTCCTCTGTCCCTCTTACTGTTTTCCCCCCACCACACCCATTCAGACACCCCCTCTGTTTCCATGTCATGTATATGGACTGTATTTGTTACTTTTTGTTGCTGTTCTAAACACCATGAACAATTTATAGAATGGAGTGTTTATTTGGGCTTCTGGTTCCAAAGATTTAAGAGTCCATCATTGTCATGGGAAAGCAGCAGGCATGGCCACTGGAGCAGCAAGCCCAGGGCTCACAGCTTGAAACACAAGCAGAAGCAGAGAGTGATTTGGAAGTGGCTTGAGGTTTTTAACTCTTTCTGCCCACTTCCAGGGACATACTTCCTCCTCCAAAGCCATACCTCCTGAATCTCCCAAACACTGCTACCAGATTGGGTCTAAGTGTGCAAATACATGAGCCTATGGGGGACATTCTCACTCAAACCACCACTTGAGCATATTTTTTTAACTGTAGCTTCTGTGTTTGAGAGAACCTGCAGTCTTTTGTCTTTCTTCCCCCATCACTCAGTAGTGTTGTCCCTTACCCTCTCCTTAGACTACTGTCTCCTCCCTCACAGTTCTGCTTTTACTTCTGTTGTTTGCTTTATGTGTGTAATACACACACACACACACACACACACACACACACACACACACACGGTATAGTATAAGGATTCCCTGAGAACCAACCAGCCACATAGGCTGAAATTTAAATCTTGATGGCACAGAACATTGTTTTATCCTTTTTCCTGTCTCATCTAGAAGGCTATTGTATTTTGTGCATATTTAAAACAAGGACATCTGGTTTTGTTATTGTTTTGATTTTTAAGGAGTCAAGAAAGGGAGAAAGAAGAAAGGGTCATTTTTCATGTTCTGTAGAGTAGCACTTCTCAACCTATAGGTCATGACTCCTTGGTGGAGTTGAATGAATATTCATAAGGATCATCTAAGATCATTGGAAAACACAGATACTTGCATTATGTTTCATGACAGTAGCAAAATTACAGTTATGAAGTAGCAATGAAAATAATTTTATGGTTAGGGCCACCACAACATGAGAAACTGTACTAAAGGGTCACAGCATTAGGACGGTGTAACAAGTCTTTCTTGTAGGACTATCTTTGGATTTCCAATCCCCAAATAACAAGACTTAGTACTAATTATGAAAGCTCTGCCTTAGCTTAGTCTTATCTCACTAGCTCTTATAACTTAAATTAACCTACTTCTATTAATCTACGTTTTAGCATGTGGCTTTTTACATTTCTTTCCTTCTGTATGTCCTACTCCCTCCATGTCTCATTAGCATCTCTGCCTATCTTCTTCCCAGAGTCCTCATTGTCCCCAGAAGTCCTGCCTAACATCTTCCTGCCTAGTTATTGGCCATTCAGCTCTTTATTAAACCAATCAGAAGGCTCCTTGGCAAAGACACTCTTCACAGTATAAACAAACAATCTGCAACAGGGAGATTGAGGACTGCTGCTACAGATTAACTTGGGGGTTTTCCACCATGAATAAAATCCTTGTTCTTCCTTAAATCTTCCAGGGGTGTTTTCAGGGATGTTTGATGCTTAGTGTCATCTCCATCTTGTCTTTTGTTAGCTGGTCCATCATAGTTTCAACACTTGACTACTTGGGTGTCTGGCTTCTTTTAACCCCTGTAGATTTTTGGTACTATAGGGACTTAGTGAATGGTTCAAGAGATTTAGTTTGCGTTACTTTAGGTTACCGTTGCAAAGCCCAAGCAACTGTTCCTGAGAGTGATCATGCTTGGCCTTTTTTGGTGATGTGCGTTAGGACTTAGCACAGGCTTCCCTGACTAGGCACTTCAGCATCCATCATTGTCTTTGTCAGCATTTCCAATAATATTGACTTACCATATTCCCTGCTACATAGACTACTATGGGTTGGTGAGTAATATTAATGCTTTTAAGTGACTTATTTCATCAACATGTTCAGCACTATTCAGAGTAAAAAGGGGTTCTAATTAATATAAATGCTAGGGAAACAATACTCTCGAAAAGAAAAGTAGATACTCTTGAAAACTTTCTGTGGTGTTAAATTGGGACAGCTACTTAAGGGGTTTTGTATTAATCTTCAGTATTAATTAAAGGCAATATTTATTAAAATCAGGTAACTTTGCAGTCATACTGGTGTTTAAACACACAAAACCAAGGAAGAATGTAAAAAGATAGTCTCACCAAGAAGTTCAAAACTTCCTGATATTCAATCATGGTTATTAATAAAGTCAGGTATATAGATATGTTTTAAATGGCACATAGCAGTTAATACATGAGTTTTTCAACATGGCTATGTTGTCATAAGACACCTTATAAAGAGAAAAGAAAGCAAGATGGAATAATCCTCACAGGAAGAGGCCATTAAAACTATAAAACAAGACCATGTGTTTCTTAAGGACAAACATATGGCTCATAAACAGAACTGCAGAGGGAAAAAGCCAGCACATACATTTTCAATAGAATTCTATTGCCCCCCAGAGGGCCCAAATTGGATCTGGGAGATGATAAATCCCTCCAAAGCTTAACCCTACCCTAAAGAAGTGTAGTTTGTGGCGTTTGACTTCTTTCATTAGGGAGAATTTAAATTTAATTAAAATTTCTCCTTGTGGATCATTACTGAAAAATAAATAAATAAAAATGTCATGAAATACTGCTTTTCGGAAGCATGCACATGGGCCCTGTAGTCACACTGTTGTTCAGATCCCAGCTCTGACACTCAGTGCTGAGCCTGAGGGAATGTGTCTACCCTCTCATTGCCTCCATGTCCTGCTTGCCATATATAAGCAGAGCGGTAAGGAAACCAGCCTTCTGGCATTGTTTGGAAAATGTCACGTGCAATTATGTATCCAACTTAGGACAATGGCTGGTGCATGCTGTGCATGTTGCCATGTATTACTGTTAACTGCTCAGTAACAGGACAGGTTTCTACATGCAAGAATAAATAAGATAAATAAGGTTGTTGCCTTGATAGAGTTTAGAAACACAGTGGAAGAGGTGCAGATAAGGAAAGGACAAGCTAAAATGTTGCGTCACAATTACTGTGACCCAGGAAGTATGTCTGTTCTGGGAATCAGCATTTGGGCTTCTCCCAGGAAGACCACTGGACAAGGAGCCCAAGTATGGCTATGAGCAATTTTGACGGGAGGAAAAATAGCATGTGCAAATGCCTGATGGGCCATGGTGAGAAGAGAAAGCACTGGGGTTAGTTCAGAGTGAGCACCATGCAGTGGGACATGGGGCTGTCCCCAGAGGCTCCTCTACCAGACTATAAGATCTGATTGTTGGATTTTGAAGAATTCTGTGAGGGGCTAGGTAGATAGCTCGGTGGTTAAGGGTATGTTTTGTTCTTGCAGAGGGCCTGAGTTTGATTCATTCGCCCACAGTAGGAGGCTCACAAGTCTGTGATCCAAGCTTCAGAGGACCCAATGTTCTCTTTTGGCCTCTGATGGCATCTTTACTCATGTGTATGCATAAACACACACACACACACACACACACACACACACACACACACACACACACACACACACACACTAAATCTCTTTAAAATCCAAACCAAACCCAGCATTTGGTGAGCAGGTTGAAATCAGCCATGATGTAGTATTTACACTGCAGAAATTGGCAAGCCCTTAGTATTAGAATGGGTAAGTTATAAAGTCAGGGGTTTTGCAGGACTTTGAAAGCCATATTAAGGAATTGAACAATATCACAATGAAGCCTGTGGTGGTGGATTGCTTGCCTAGCATATGGAAGGCCCTGGGTTCAATCTATAGTAATACACACACACACACACACACACACCCCTGTGTAGTTTAATGACTGTTACCTAGGCCTTGTAGTCTTAGACCTATGTCTGAACCCTGATTTAATGTGTTCTGGGGAAAATTTTATAGCAATGCCAATCACAGTAGTAAAG